CTGGCTTAAGGCGAGTTGAAGACTGATTGTTGACTTTTCCTAAACTCAGCCCTTGCATTTTACCTACTCCTGCCTCTTGAGAGGTCATTTCATTCACCGTCATCATCGATATCCTCCTCCTCATCATCATCATCATCATTGTCATCATCTTCATCGTGTCAACGTTTCATCAGCAAAGCGAAAGGGATTCGATAACGTGTTGCAGGTATTGTGGCAACGTCACCATTCGACAACCCGCCGTCGGTGTCGCGAGGGTTACGGGTCAAATGTGATGTCCATCAAAATGATATTCCATTTGCAAGTGCCAATTACGCGTGCAGGCATTACTTATTTTCCATTTAAGTAGTCTCCGAGACGACGAATACCTTTTGAATGAGCACTTGCGATGTGGGTGATGCTGTCGCCCAGCGACAAAGTGAGGCTGAAGAGGGCGGGATTGTGTGAAAAGTCACAGATTCATGCGATGCGTGTTACGCGAAGTCAGGCTGAAATGGTACCAATGTTGTTGAGTAAGTCGACTTAAGCCGCCCCCCCAGCCCAGGCCCACATGAGCACGTGACTGTCGGGCGGAGCGCAGTGTGCTCTCGCTTCTCTTCGCCTCGCAGACACAGTTCAAGTAGCTCTGCTTAACTCCAGCAATGTGTCTGTCACAAGAAGCTGTAGCAGACAGTCGCCATACTCGCCCATAAGACCTTCACTCGCCCCAAACTTATTAACTCTTCAGTTCGCTTTCATGTTTGCTCTTCATCTGCGTTGAGTTGCTTTACTTTTTATCTTATGACTCGTCACCTTTACCAGCTTTATCAATGTCATCATTGCCTTCTGCTTCGGCGTCGTCTTCATCATCTTCGTCTTCCTCTTCCTCTCCCTATCCCACTCGTCAACACGAGGGAGCGGCCCATTATGGATGAAGGTAGGTGAGAACAGCAATTACTCGTTCGTCTTCATAATCTGCCTTATTCGCTTCTCCTTCTTGTTCGTAATCTTGTCACTCTCCTTCTTCTTTTTCTGATTCTTCTGCTCTTTCTTCTTCTTCATCTGCTACTTCCTCATATCCTTCATTCAGACTTCGTCCTCAAATTCTTCTTCTTCTTCCTCTTCTTCTCATTCTCCTTTTTTTTCTGCTCTTTCTTCTTCTTCATCTGCTACTTCCTCATATCCTTCATTCGGTCTTTGTCCTCAAATTCTTCATCTTCATCTTCATCTTCATCTTCTTCTTCTTCTACTTCCTCTTCTTCTCGATCTCCTTCTTTTTCTACTTCTTCTGCTCTTTCTTCTTCTTCATCTGCTACTTCCTCATATCCTTCATTCAGACTTCGTCCTCGAATTCTTCTTCTACTTCCTCTTCTTCTCATTCTCCTGCTTTTTCTGCTCTTTCTTCTTCTTCTTCTTCTGCTACTGCTTCATATCCTTCATTCAGACTTCGTCCTCGAATTCTTCTTCTACTTCGTCTTCTTCTCGATCTCCTTCTTTTTCTGCTTCTTCTGCTCTTACTTCCTCTTCATCTGCTACTTCCTCATATCCTTCATTCAAACTTCGTCCTCGAATTCTTCTTCTACTTCCTCTTCTTCTCATTCTCCTGCTTTTTCTGCTCTTTCTTCTTCATCTTCTTCTTTTTCGTCGTCGTCTTCTTATTATAATTATTCCTCTTCCTCTCACTCTTCGCATT